TTCTTCCCAATGAGAACAATTTACAATCGTGTTGTAGAGAAGATGGGGAAGGGAATACCCGACTAAACTGAACATTTTTTTTTCAGAAAAAAGAACGCTAACAACCAAACATGGATAGACTGAAACAGAAGTGAACAAAAAGAGAAACGATTAAGTAATAATAATAATAGTGATAATAAAAATTACAAAACAAAACCAAAAAAGGCGAGTAGGAGGAATCAGCAAAACCACAGAATTCAACAACAACGAGATACACATTTCTTTATTTCAAGCCCATTATGACCTTTATTTTAGATTATGTATGTTTCTTTTTGTATCTGCTCTACTCTCCCTGTCTCTCTCCCTCCCTCTTGTCTCATCTGTCAGCTGGGCATTATTTACCCACGCCTAACAAATTGAGTATTTCTCTAATCGAATGAATTGAATGTTGTTGTACAACTTGTGTACCACTTCACACGTGTTAGTATCTGTGTTTCTGTGTACATGTGTGCATAAAGGTGTATGAAATACAGGACTCAATTTCTTCGTTAAATCTCTATTTATTTATTTATAATTTTTATCCTGTCAACAGACAGAGAGAACAAGTTGTTTTACAGTTTAAACATTCTCTTCAATTTAGTACACAATGGAATGAATGAATGAACGAGTGAGTGAATGATTTAATAGCAGGGAAAGGCAGGCAAGAGACAGGAGGCAGGATGCAGAGGGGGGAGGGTCACAAGAAATAGAAATGAACAAAACTAAATTAGAGACTTATTTTTCCTTTTGTGGGAAAAAAACAATTTGGGAATTATTTTCTTTTTCTTGTTCTTTTTCTTCGTCTGTTTTCTTCATTCATTCATTCACTCGCTCGCCCACTCACCCACCCACTCACTCACTCACACATTCACTACTAATTCACAATTTATAGATTTCTATTTCTTTTTAACTATTTTAGCAGATTTTTCTTCTGTTCAATTCAGTATGATACAGGTGAATGTGTGTCTGCGCATGCCTATGACTGCATGTATGCTGTCTGAAACACATGAAGGTCAAGCTTTAAGCTCACTTGAAAACTAGAAGAAGAAGAAGAGGCAGAGAAAGAATAGGCTGGCTAGGCGTAAATGTGGAGAAGTGTCCAATTCAACACTGAAAATGACAGTTCAACATCAATCATCAATCATCAGTCATCATCACTTGTGTTAACCTTATCCACTTCAGGTGTAAATAACAATTATGATGATGATGACGGCTGTTATTGTTATTCTTATAATAATGGAACAGTTAAATACTGAAAAGAATCGACTTGATTCTCTATTCTCTATATATATAGTCCTCAGGATTACTTAACACATAACACTGTTTTATTGAATAAATCAATAAGAGTATAGAGTATACAAAAAAAATTAATGATAACACTATTCAATAGAATTAATTTACTGATTTAGAAATGAGCAAAATGTCTGATTTTAATGAATGCAACCAATGGAAGTGTGAGGTTAAAAATAGTCTGTGAGACTACATAAGAACCTCCTCTTCTTATAGTGAGATTTGAACAATCCTATGTGTGATTTCAAAAATGTATCAGACATACTTTAGTTCAGTAAAAGGATATCAGTTAAGTTGAAATCTCTGAAATGCTTTTTTTCGAAAACCACCAAGATGAAAGAAGTCTAGATTATGAGTCTGTTGTTGATATACCTTTAAATATATATATAACATCAGACAGACAGTACTGTAATATCACGGGATTCAATGTGGCATAAATAATCGATAGATAACAATTCGTAATTAGAAGAAAACAACCGGCACACCGATCAGTTAGTATGGAATAACCAGTGTAATGTGTTCTAGCACTTAGTCTTAGCGTTGACTACATTCTGTTAGCCCAGTTTGTAAATAAGATCACTAACCAAGAACGAATCACCATCGTTATACATTTTCAAAGAACAATTTCAAGACTGCAGATGTCTTGCTGACAAGTACCAAAAAGCACAAAACTTAAGTTCATGGAATCCTTCCTATCTGCTCCAACCAACACACTCCTAAAACACGCTTAGTTAACTTGTCGATGGTAAATAAGAGAACAGGTTGGGCTATATCCAACTTGGAATGCAAATGAATGATGTATATACCCTAACCCTAACCCATGGGCGAGTACCGCTGAAGAGTTCCGAACGATGACGATACAGCCATCCAATGCTCCTGGATTTTTAACAGTCCATGACAAAATTTACCTTCAAAACAGTCGACTACCCGATAAACCCAAAATGCTGATAATGTTTTCTTTATATAAATATAATGGCATATGCACTGATAAATAAACGCGTAAGAAGTCATGTAGAGTGTAATAGGGGATCATTTCAGAAGAATTCCTATCACGAGAGAATATAATATAGCTAATATGTAGTGGCGTCGGTGGCATAGCGGTTAAGACGCTCACCAACCATGAACATGGTCCGGGGTTCAGTCCCCGGCCGACGCAGTCCTTTACCTCGCTAAACTTCAAATAAAAGCTGGTAAAGAGGAAAGGTTGGACATGAGGCACTGCTACAGAAACTTCAAGCCTCTAGCTTGAAGCCCTATATTCCACTGGGAACGTGAAGGAATAAAAAAAATCTGTAGTAGACTCAAAAGACGATCGATACTCAACACCTATGAACTCAAACTAAAGAAGGAAACTGAACTATTATCTGAACATAAATTAATTCACCATGGAATATCAAAGCTATGAACCTTATCTAATTGTATAGAATTATTTATACACATTGATGAAAAGTTTAAAATTATAAATAAATTATTTCATAAATATCACTTCAGGGTATCTTTTCTAAGGTTAGTTCTATGTAGTACTTTTATTTCCCCTACACTTTCCGCTTATTACGTAATCACTTTGAATTATCTTTCACAATAATTCATATTCATTCTAATAAGATCTAATGACTTTTAAGTGATCACGTTTCAAAATCAGTAATGAGTAATTTTCACTTTTCCAAGTGAAGATGATAAATTATAATAAGTGAGTTCAGCTTAAATAATCAACATCAGGGTAGAGTGAATATTACTCAACTGAATCAGGAGTGGTACTAATGGTTGTGGTTGTGTTTTTACAGTGGCATTATAATGGAAAATTCCTGCATTTTATCCAACCCGCATATTAGAAATAATAATTAATATTCATTGCGTAATAGTTTTAACTTAGGAGGAATTTATTTTCTCATTGATCTAAATAATTTAGTCATCTTCACTGGAAATAAGAAAGGAAATAACTTGACTGAACTTGAGTTATTTTAGTCTCTGAATTAAGTATTATCAGTGTGGTGAACGAGAGGATCTATTGATTAATTTATTAAAAACAAAATAAGTTACTAATTAGGTGTAAGGCTTGTTCTGATTATTGAGCATATTTTAAAACCAACTCCACTTCTATTCATTTATTTATTTTGTTGGTTTCTTCATACCATCAATCCACTGAGTATATTCCATTCTAATGTGAATTATAGTAAACTGGAGAGATGGTAGGAGAGGGGAGAGGGTAAGGCTGTCAGTGGTAGGGGATAAAGAGCAAAATCTTCAAATAATCCTCTTGACCTAATTTTTTTCTCTATTAGTAGATGACTTTGTATTTCCATTTTAATGCCTGAATATATTTAAATCATTTATCATATTCGGATATTTTAAAATAGGCAAATATTTAAATTATTGTAAAGATAAATAGTTAAGTCTTTAACATCAAGTTAGTACATATTTCACGAGATCAACAAGTTTCCAAATATTGGTTTTGTGAGGATTTTGTTTGATTGGTTGGAGGATTTCGTGGTGAGCTGACATCAGTTAAAGAACCGTTGGAAAACCTTCAGGGAACACCTTGTTTAGGACTTCTCATCAGTACGCACCCACCGACGGGGTTCGAAACCAGGACCTTCCAGCCACAAGGCGAGCCCGTAGACCATTAAGCCACTGGCTTTGACCCCCGGTGGGTGTGCACTGATGACGAGGACGAAACAGCTGTCCAGTACTCCCTACAGGTTTTCTAATGGTTCTCTAACTGATATCAGCTCATGATAAAATCCTCCAACCAATCAAATAAATAAGTGGATGGATAAATTTAGATTCATCATTATCAGAGACTAACAGCAATCGAAAAATAAAAGTTCAACTCTGTATGAATATAGAACGAAGGAGAAGATGATTAAAACTGTTCTATGATGGAAAACTATACAAGTCAATCATTGGATGATGAGTTAAAACCCAAGTTCTGAGTAGTGATCAAAGTTATTCATTCAAACCTATGCATATAAATATTCATATCATTGTATTCCGAATGAGAAATAGAGTTTTAGAAGTGGTGGAGTTGTCTTTAAACGGTGAGGTTGTTAGTCTGGCGTCCAACCTTCTTCTTTTCCCGCTCCTATTACAGGCTTGGCGAGGTTTAGGAATTCATCAGTTTGAAATAGAACCAAACCTCCCACGTGGTTGGCAAGTATTCCAACACTGATACCTGATGACTGTAGGTGAAATGAAAATCTGAGTCTCTGAGATATTCTAACGAATGGCCTCTGAGTTCGTAGTCAGTCCATGGTGTGTTTTTACCCCCGTATTGTTTAATTTGCAAGTGAAGAATTTCATTTTACATTCAAATTAGAATGAACTATAAAGAAATAACATTGTAATGATCAAGCCACCGTGTACGATACACTTCAAAGATAAAAACTGAATAGAGAACCTTTAGAAAGTTCATACTGCAATGAGTGCTGACGATATCGCCAAGAAAAAACAATGAAAGCTCCTCAAATATACCACCTAATCCACGGGACACAAATACACCAAAAACATCCAATCTGGCCTTTTCGTGATTTTATAGGCACAATACACAGAAATAATAAGTGAATTAGGAAATCAGATGTACTGATTATGTTGAGTTTACTTCATTAAACACTAACTTAGTCATAACAATTGACAAGCATAAATAATTTAAATTAAAACAACGTTTAATTCATTAATAATCAAATGAAATTTACCTGTTGATGTTGTTCCATTTGTTTTAATAATAATTGTCGTTTCTTATCTTTACATCGTTTATTTTGAAACCAAACACGTATAACACGTGGACTTAAATTTGTCATTTCAACTAATTGCTCTTTCATTAATGCATCTGGTCTTGGATTAGCAGCATAACATGTTCTTAATGTATGCAGTTGTTTCTCATTCAGCACAGTTCGAACCTACAAACAAATTAATTAATTAATTAATCAATTAATCCACTAAATAATTAAAGCAAATAAATAAATAAAATGAAATTGGTTGGAGGGTTTCATCATGAGCTGAAATCAGTTAGAGAACCATTGGAAAACCACCTGGAAGTACTGGACAGCTGTTTCGTTCTAGTTTTGGGACTCTTCATCAGTACACAACCACCCATTAGATCATTGTATTAAACCCTTCGATATGCATATTAGGTAGAGATGCTGACCACAATAAAGTAAGCATATCTTCAAATACAGCTGTGTTTGAATGAGCACCACTAGAATACGAGTGAACACGAAGCATTTTATGATGCAGTGGGTTAATATGAAACCATGAAAATACAATTTTATGTTTGGCTTTGAAGTTTGTATTGCCTAGATATAATTATCAAACAACATCTACTATTGCAGACTAACAATGACTCTAAAGCAGTCTAAATGAATGCCTTATAAAATATTTTGCCAATTGATAGTCGGCGAGAATGGTCTAAAACCATACTCTCCGACCCCTAACACCCCCTCTATTCCCAAATCTCGCCTTGTATCTCACCAAGTAAAACCAGAAATCAGTATAAAATAATTTATGCTCGTACAACCAAGTACAGGAACTCAACGATACCATACTTGGCCCGTGATCTAAGCGACAGAGACAATGTTAAGCGTGAAACCTATGACTTGCTTTGTTATTATAACATAATTTTAGGCTCTCTTATTTCTCTCTTATTTTGTATTCTATAGTGAACTCCTTCTTAAACATACTTAGCTACCTAAATTATTAACATTGCCTTACTTTTTTGTACTTTACTGTATTCCTTCTTTTGTGTATCCGCTGGTTCCGACTATATTAGCACTATGAGTAGTACAAAATTTTCCTGTCATTAACCATCATGTAATTATTTGTTTTTGTGGTTGTTTTTTCTTATTTTTTATTTTCTTCGGCAATAATAAACTGACAATCATTGGTTGTGAACGCCATTGTCACCACCTTAAACATTTTGTATCATGCAGGATTACTCACACTACTACTACAAACACCGCATTAGACCCGACAATAGAAAAACAACCCTGAAATGTTATTTTATGATTGTTTAGAGTTGTTTCAACCAAATTAACTGATCAACTTGGCGATAAACATTCTTAAATATCATTTCATAACTTCTTGTATGACTATAGCTTTCCTGTCACCATGCACAATCACATCATTGCTTCCACTACCCAATACTGAGATATTATTATATGATGTTTATTTTCCTTTCTACTTCTTGTTTTTTTTTTTGAATTTTTTTATTATTTTGTGTTTTTATTTGCTGTTGTTGTCTTTATATTTATTTTTTAAAATACTCCTTTTAAATGTTTGATAAAATTAGATGCAAATGTTGTAGATATGTGCTGAAAATTCCACACTGTATCACTAGTGCTGTTTCTGGAATAAAGCAAATTATTATTATTACTATTAATATCAGATATCCAAATGTATATATATTGCTCATATCACTATGTGAATACAGAAGCGAACTATACCGCTACGGTTAACATCATTGTTAGGGTATGCTATATCATTGCTCCAATAAAGTTAATAGATTATATGAAATACATGACTGAATAAACTCATTTATAGCAAAATAAACTTGCCGCTCTTTCATCTCCGCCTACTTAAATAGATAGATTTTGTACTATATGCCTAGAGAAATGCTATAATCATATCAGATTTTATTTTTTTGGCTTTGTTGAAAGTGATTTATCAACTTTTTTACGTAACCGGTATACTGTGCATGAAAACACCTCGTGATAGCTTTTATTCTCACTCAGAATACGCGGTCAGTGTTTTTCAGTTTTCAATATCTTTTGTTTTAAATATTTATTTCAGTCAAAATGAAAATTATTTTTTCAAGATAACTGGGGTTATTTTGAGTTAATCTTTTGAGTATTTAGTTATTGGTTAGTAAATCAGCTGACTGACTGACTGATTGATGAGCTAATGTATAACTACGAGTACATTTTGAAACTACAGATATAAAATGATCAAATAGAAATAGCATGTTACTACTACTGTGACGAGTGATACTGATAGGGTTTATTAGTAGTATATAAAGCGACGTTCATTGGCATAAAAACACCAAATATCAAGGAGGCACATTTGATGTTAGAGAAGGCAAATGATACAACGTTATGGAGATACATGGGAGACGTGAAAGGAACACAAAGAAACACAATATGAAGGCTAGAAGTACCACAACACGAAGATCTGATGCTCGCTAGTGACTTGCTACAGGATGAAGTTTCCTGGAGTTCTAGTGAGAAGTCGCGACCAGTGAGGTCCATCCAGTCAAGTGTGAGGATGGATGTCTCACCGACGACATTGGTTAGGGTCACGCTAAATCGCGAATTGGTAGAAGTTAGAATTCATAGGCTGGCCATTGAATCGGGTGCCAGTGGCTGATTGGTACAAGAGCTCACCTTGTAATCAGGAGGTCCTGGGTTCGAACCCCACTGGGTGCGTACTATTGATGATTCCCAAACTAGGCTGAAGCAGCTGTTCAGTACTCCTTGGTGGTTTTCAATGGTTCTCTAACTGATATCAATTTGTGATCAACTCGTAAAAACAAAACTAATCCTTACAAACCAACCATAGGAAATACTTTCTGTCATATAATCAAGACTCTTTAACCAATGATTCTTATATACACCTAGGTGGAGCATACCAAAAGACAATAATATCAACGATTCATGCCAAGTTCTGAAGTGATCATACCTAACTATTTTCCGACATTATCACTATCAGTGAACACTGATTTGAGAGGAAAGCTGTAACTTAAATTGCATAGCATATATTTCGGCTGCCTCACAAACTCATCAACTGATTTATCCTCTTCACCTAACACGACTTTTATGATGTATTTGGTTAGGGATGAAGAGGATACTCTTCTGTCCGTAATTTTATGGAAAATATTCTGAGAAAAAAATGCATCACTTATCTGTTCTAATTAGTCTATCTAAATATTAAAATTTTATTCAGGTCAGTGTTGGAAACGAATATGTTTCAGTTTGACTTAAATGACTTCTACTCATGTGCAATAAGTAAAAGTTTTATATCATGTCCGTTAAAAAGATTGATTTCACTTGAGTCCCTTTCCCTTCTACTAAATTACGTGACTTCTCTTTATCTTTAAAAACCACTTCCGAATAGTTTTACTAATTATGTTACACACGCCTGTTATTACTCAGTAAAAGGCTGTTGTATGCTCTCAGTAGATCTAAATACTATTGAATAGCCTATGAAGATGATTTCACCGATAAAGATAATTTTCTTCACTGAATTCTCTTTTCCTTATTCTAATAAATTATTTAGCAGTACAGGCATGGTAGTAATTTTTCAAATTTTCAAATTGTAAACTCACTCTAGTTGTCTTTTGATCTTTTGATCGTTTACTTCCAGCTGATTTACCAGATGATGGTCTTGATCCAGCATTACCACCTAAACCATTTCCACTACTGGCATTACCCGTAGTATGCATTCCAGTCATTCCACGTGATGATATAACCACACTGTGAACTACTTCATCGCCCAATCCACCACCGCCAGTAATACTTGTTCCACTACTTGAACTACCCGTGAGACTTCCACTGCCACCACCGATTCCAAGCATTCCAAGATTTTGATTATAATTTCCATACATATTATTATTATTACTATGATGATGATGGTGAGGATGATGATGATGACCATGATTATGATGATGTAATCCAGTGGTATTAATAGGCAAAGAATTCGAACCATTCATAGCTGTACCGCATTCTGATAGACCAGTTGTATTTGATTCACTCATACCAAGTAGGCTGAAATCTTCATCTTCATGACTTAATTCATCACTGCTACCAGACATTGGACTATCTAAATTATTTAAAAGAAGAACAAAATAAAAGTAAAATAAACTGATTCATTTTTAAACACATAGAAGTTATCTGTCTATTCCCATAGTATTCAGTTATTATTAAGAGTTGATACTCTAGGGAAACAGAGAAAATTGCTGATATGGATTTTATATAAAAATGGGAATATTAATAATAATAATAATAGAAATGCTTCATTAGCTAATATTAAATGACTACATCACATAGATTCACTGTCCCCACTTTCTCACAATAATATGCATTTGTTGAATGAGTGTTGTTTCAAAGCATCTACCTCTGGCTTGGCCTACTATTAACCGAGAAAATAATACCAATCTGTTAATCATGCCATCGTTTTATTGTCAAGTGAATAAAATAATATATAACTCTCTATTGATCACCTCATTAGATAGCTGGCCAGTTAAGTATTCTCCTATCATTTATTAAGTTCTCATATGACAGCTTAATTCTTGAGAGTTCGTCTTAAAAATAGTACAGATTTTTCAGCTTTTTTAATTGCATGGTATTTACTCTTTGTACAAGATCTTCAAGTAATGCGATGATCGATAATGCATCACTTCAAGCAATATCATCCTATCTAAAGCATGTTCTGTTACTTCCTGTGAGTTTTTACTCCATTTCATTCAAAAACCTCATAAGATTAGGTTGAAACCATTTTGAAAATGTGCATGAGAGTAAATTTGATGCATTTTGAAGAGTAGAAAACAAAAATTTGGTAGCTCAATGTTTTAAACTGGCCGCCAGATTTTTTTTAATGTTTCACTGAATAGGTTTAAGTTCATTTACATGATGTCCTATAACATCGGGTAACAATCATAAGTTATTTAATTATTGCACTTTAGTGTAGTTAAATTCACAAAAAGTTACGCGTTTTACTTGTCAGAAATGTGGCGGATGTTACTGACAAGATTTATAAGTAGTATATTTAGTGTGGTGTTTTCTAGAAGAATATGAAATAGTAGAGGGACGGATTAAATAAACGATCCTTGTGAAAAAATACAGAAAACACAAAAGGTTGACGAAAGAAGCACAATATCGAAAATGTATGCAAATTGTGATTTTAATATAAGTTAAATGTATTCTACCTATATGTGTACATCAGTTTTGCCAATAAATAATTCCAGCAACAAATACTATCGCGTCTTGTAGTTATAGTATCATTATAGGAGGAATACTTTATGGGTGGTTACTTTAGTTTATTAAAGTAAACACTACGTTTATCGTTTCTAAAAATTATTTAGTATATCTAAAATAAAGTAATAATTACAGGATTTCATAATGAGCTGACATCGGTTAGAGAACCATTGGAAAGTAATAATTACAAAACGCCACAGTAGTTAAAAGGCATATGTTTTGTCCTGTTCAGGTCTCATCATAATTCGATTATTATAGTCTAAAATAAACTACATATTTCATATAAAAATACATCTACTCAATAAAACAATAAATCAGAAGGTCAAAGATGATGTTACCTCTCAATTTCAATTAGTATCTATCACTATACTGATGGATTTGATGAGTTTGGTGTTTATGTGTGTGTGTGTACGTGTATGTTTTTTCTGTTTATTCGTAAACGATTAGTTCACCTGTTTCAAAAATACAACATCGCCTTATTTAATGTCCATTTTGCCATAATACATATAAATAAATAAAACAAAAGAATAAATTTATCTCATTAATTAATCTAAATATTGTTTTAAAAAATTATTCCCACTTGTACCGAACCCACTCTGTACCTGCTCTCGGTTCCATTGCAAGTCCACTTACGCACACACACACACCTACATACCTGACCGACCGGTCTACACTGTCTATGAGCAATGATTTCCTGTCTAAAAATGAAAACTACTCAAATTTTAATTATTACTCTGAAAGGCTATCAACACATATAAACATTTATATATGATAAAGTAATTCTTTTTTGACAAGTTAACATATATATTTTCATATTCACCATCAAATATCGACAAAGTCACAAACACACACATGCACACTCACTCACAAAGAGGCATCACTGATGACGCTGATACTGATGATGATCGTGATGAATTTATCTATTTTTGTACAGTTTAATCCACCCCAATTTAAGTACTCTCTTTCTCTCTTCCTCATTAACTCACCTTTTCATTTAGATCATTATGATAATTTATTGTTTATTTATGATATACATTTGAATATCAATCATGTCATACCGGTAAATAGTGTGATGAATGTTCAAGTGTGTGTTTGTGTTTGTGTGTGTGTGTGTGTGTGTGTGTGGCTTTATGTATGCATTGAGTGTTATCCTACTGAGATGTATGAATGAATTCCTCTTGATTTCATCTATTTCGACCTTAGTTATTTATTGTTTTTACTTTCATCCTTACTGACCTGATTTTAAAACAATCTCTTTTTATTTTAGGGAAACAAATCATTAGTGATGTATATTTTTCTCTCATGACTTCTGAAAGCTAATGTAATATTAATTAATAATACGATGGGATGTTGAATATAGCTGAGAAAAAACAAGCTGAATAGTTATAGGAAGTATCCAGGATGCCTTGGATCCCGGTTTTATGCTTATTTAGACTTGTCAAAAGGATGTATCTACTACCTGGAAGGGACCAGTATACTCTCAGAGATGCGGATCCGCACAAAATATTACTGAAATCAATAACACTACCATCTAGCCATTCAAGACTGTGATTGACATCCTGTAAGACTGTGATGTTTTCGCTGATTGATCACTACAGTGTAACTAGTATCATGTGTTTAGTTCTTGGTGGTGAGGTGTGAATTCTACCGGCCAAGTTTACAGTATGGTTATCAAAATGACTGACATTCCGTCACGATGCACTATGAACCTCTGGCCAGAATGGCTCAGGCATAGTGTTTCTGACTACAGTAGTAATTGAAGTAGGACTGTTCCTTCGAGGCTGAAGATACACCTTGTAGACAGATCTCAATAAGCAGGAAATTTAGGTCGAGAGCTTCTTGCCAGTTATCTCTGACATCCTAACATGGATTCATAATGTACCGTGTTAGTAAGTCCGTCAGTGGTTTTGGTGATGGCACTGCAAACTCCACTGGTAGAATTCAGTCACCACTAACACCGAGGTCTAGACACAGTAACTCTGGTTACAACCCAGTTAAGTTTAACTGTGAAACAGACTAACTCAGAGGAATCTAAATGCTTTCAGGTTGAAAAAAAATGTTTCGCAGATGTTTTATATTCTACACCCATGAATTATATTAAAGATGTTACTGATGAGTGTGCAGAAAAACATCATGCCCGTCCAATGAAGGTAGTTGAAAAACATTCACCACAACACTTATTCCCAATGCATCCCGATAGATTTGTTCACAACTTTTCCACAACCAAGTTTTCAGTATCATCGGTAACACAGTGGAATAAGGAAGTCGATAACATTTTGAAAGTCATTTCAATTAGTAAAACGATATATTGGCGTCGGTGGCATAGCGGTTAGGACGCTCGCCGACCATGCACAGGGTCCGGGGTTCGATCCCCGGCCGACGAACTCCTTTACCTCGCTAATCCAGAAAACATGCTGGTGAAGAGGATAGGTTGGGCATGAGGATAGCCTACCCATCCTGTAAAACAAACACTGCTACAGAAACTTCAAGCCACTAGCTTGAAGCCTTATGTTCCACTGGGGAACGTGAAGGAAAAAATGATATATACTACTGATGAAAATGCCTAATCAGTAGTCAGACTGATGTGGATTTTCATATGGAACTGTATTCGATTCTGTTATTATCATTAACTTAAGAAACACGTAAATGACTCCTTTCAGCTATTTAGTCTCTGCTAACTAGTGTTATCTGTAATTCATGTACACTTCTATTTGAGCCTTCTTTAGCTGGATTTACTTAAATTCCTTCTCGTGAGTTTTAGTCGCACTACCAGTGCGCTTACATAATTTATACTGTTAAACCAGTATGCGTTTGAATACTGAGCTACAAAATGCACTTTTTTTTAAATATAGTGAGTATCAGTCGTTGTCATGGTTTCTAAAGCTAAAGATTAAAATAGGAACTGATTTCTTGAGACAAACTAGAATAATCACTTCTTATTCTGTTTGTTTTATCTCAGTTAATCTACATATTTTTAGTATTAAATTTATCATTTAATATTTCATATATTTAACTTTCTTCTTGTGTTTTAAAGGAAAATTACGACAATTTGTAAACATATATATATCTTTATTTTATAACAATAATCATTGGGAAAATTTAAAATTTCCTATAGTATCATAGATATACATGTACAGGGATACTAATACATGCAATAAAAAAACCAAAATAATCGCTAATACTACGGTTATTCCTGCTAATACCACCAACAGAATCACTACTACTACTACTAGTAGTAATAGTAGTACTGTGGATGTTTATGGTATCCAGTAGAAAGATAGATAGAAAAACACAACTGTTTCTAATGAAAGCGGTCAAAACATATCACCCACCGCGGTGTCTTTCTACTGTAGAGCCTATCAGTATTGCCATTACTGTTATTAGCCTTCAGTGTACATTTTCACACGCGTTCACCCACACCCATACACATGTATACACACACATACACAAGTATACACGCCTTTACGCACACTTACCTACATGTAGATACACATATACACGCACATAGAGTGACAAGTTTTTTCTAAGTAAATAAAAAAACCAGAAGAAGAAGAAGAACAGAGAGAAAAAGGCAAAGAAATGTATTCATGGTGGTCTCATTCTCTCTCTCTCTCTCTCACTAGGTTACCTTGATTCTACCACACCCAACTCTTCTTCGAAAGTTTTTGTCTTTTTCATTAAGAAGAAAAGAAAGAACCGGGTGCAGAAATTTAGAAGTTAAGATGAAAACTGTACATTAGAGAGAAGGAGAAGATGAAGAAAGCGAATGTATAAATGAGGAGGGAATAAAGTAGATTGAAATACAAAAGATTCTTATGTTTATCTTGGGGAGGGCGCCAATTATCA